CAGTACAATAATGCAGTGGTTCCTAACCTTGACCCCCCCTCTCCCCAATGGGGGGGGGTGTGGCAAAGGGCATGGTGGTGGGCAGTGGTATAACCTTGTTTGTTCAGAGGTTGTGAAAATATCAACTTATTATTTGTACTGTATATAAAAACCACCAAAACATTAGGGGTGCAACGATACTGAAAATTCACCATTCAGTTTGGTTCGATACTTTAGTCTCACGGTTCAATATATTTTCCTATACAAAAAAGAGAAATTTCCATGCCCCTTTTAACTTGTAATTTATTGAATTTTATTCTGAACCTTTGTTTAACCTCAAAAGTACAGTTTTTTAATTAAATGTTGCTGAAACAGCAAGTTTCTCAGTGGACCTGCGCTCAAAAATGCAGCCTAGGTGGAGTAGTCGAACACAGATCCACTGATCCTTTAACACAGAGCATCTTCAGAAGACAAGTTTATAAAATAAATTTTTAAAATCTGTATTGTTCGATACATAGTGTGTATTGAACCTAAAGTACTGTAATGAACAGTTCGATACAGATACATGTATTGTTGCACCCCTACAAAACCATTTGAACAATTAAAACTGCATAACTCGGTTCTTCTTTTTTTTTTACCTCTTTTCCAAATAAAAGTTATTAACTATTCACTTTATTATTTTGATAAAGAGATAAAGGTTGAACGTGTCTTTGGGAGAAGTGTGGAGTACCAACGCATTGAGGGTGGATGTTGCTCAGGAAAGTGGAGCTTTGAAGAAATTTTGGTGCCACTAGAGGTTGGTTTATACTTTGAGTCGCGCATCTTGTTCCCCCTGCTGAGTGACAAAAAAATTTTGCAACTTCCGTCTGCTCTCCCGCTGCTACCCCTTGATGACAGCTGTCATACATCGCCCCCAGTCAGAACTCTGTGATGCGGACCTTGTGGCTCGGAGTATGTGATTGGTTAGAACTTCATGGTGTGTTTGTTCATGAGGAGACAGCGGCGATCCAGCCTGCGGAGCTGTGAGGAGCAGGACTCCAAGCAGCTCTTCCTTCTGTGTGTTATTTTGTTTAAAATTATTATTTTTTTTGTCTGAAGCCTGTTGCTAAAAGAGCTGAAAGAGCAGCTGGTTTGATCCTATTGAAAGTGAGCATGCAGCTGATGTTCACATCTTTTTTTCCATCACCACCGTTAACTCACAGAGATAAAAAGTTTTTCCTCTGCGGACTCCTCACCCAACAAAACACTGATCATTGAGTGATAAAAAACACAATATCCAGCCATCAATGTTGTTGTTTATATACTTTTATGAGCTGTAGGAGGGCAGAGGGAGGATCTATGATCATTTATGGCCCGACAAGTCTTCAACCCGTTTATACTCGCTCAGGAAAAGGACGTCCAATATGACACAATCACTAACCTGCTGTCTCARATCTTATTGAAGTAAAACCTAAGCTTAAGGTACAATCCACAAGTCCCACTCAAGTAAAATGAAAACTTGATGAGATAAAATGTCTCAACAAAGATTTTAAAATGTTGAATGGCAGGCTGGACCTGGAACCAGAGGTGACAAAAGGCTCGTTTTTGGAAGCTTTTAGAAGCAGCTGGTTTGCTGACCTCATCATCCTGGCTGGAACGTAAAAGTGCAGGAAGGTATTGAGATACTAAGGGAGCAGCTTGTTTTGAGGTGTTGCATGGTAGGATTGGGTGATATTGGCAAAAAAAAAAATCACGATTAATTGTGGTATTTTGCCGATAACGATTAATTTGACGATTAATCCCCTGGAGTCCCTCGACCCCCTTATGTCCTGGTCACATGACCAATTTTGTGGGAAAGATTTGCTCTTGATAAAAATCTGTTCCAAACTGTGTCAAAATTACAGACTTCAGGCTACACATCAATTTTTAAATTATGTTGATAGATAAATAAATTACATAATTTTTTWAAATGTTTGTCATATTTGAAGCAGAGAGGAGCACCGAGCGAACTCTGCCTGGTGGTATTAATCGTATTAATCGTCAAGTGCCAAAAAATAARTGATTAATGTTTTTCTGACGATTAATTGCACACGATACGATTATGCCCAACCCTATTGCACGGATATCATTTGAAGTGTTCACAGCTAGATTTTGAATTAATTTTGTAGCATCTAAGGCAATGCTTGAAGTAAAACATATAAGCCCTCACTAATCTGGAGTATTTTGTGCATTTATTATCAAATTTAAAGAGATCATTTGGATTCTAAATTGTAAGGCAACAAAAAACAAACAGTAAAAATGCAGTGAATAGTTTTGCAAATGGCATGTTCCACAGGATAATTAATGGTAAATGCAATTTGTAAAATTTTGTGCAACTTTATTTCTTACCTTGAGTAAAAAACCTAGAACACCATGCAACAAATAACAGTGATTCCGTTCCAAAGGCAGGATGAAACCACATTTGTCAGAAATTCACCAGAAAAGTAATGACTCAACAGAGGCAGTCGAGCTTTGCCTGTAGAACTCCTTCACGGTAACTTACCTCCTCTCACCCACGCAGCATTGTCCGGACGTGTATGCGCTTTCCTTTTGTCTTTCTCATCAGCTCTCAGAGTGGTTTCATCTGCCATCTGGTCCATTGCATCACACAGAAAAAAAAAATGCTCAGAGTATGACAAACCTGATTGTCTTGAACCAAAAGTACAGTACGTAGCTGCATCCGGCCGAGGCCAGAGTGACTTAACGTTTAAATCAGCGTCACCAGAGCTCCTCGTCCTCAGGTGCTCGCCAGCTTTCAGGAGGAAATGCAACCTTCTTCTCCGGAGCTGTATGAGCACTTCTTTTTTTCTTTGTGAAAGCAGTGAGCATCCAGGAGAAATTATCCTTCATATTGCACAAGATCCATTTGGCCTGCTGCCTGCTTTTCTGATGTTCTAATGACGTTGGCAAAAAAAAAAAAAAAAAAGACTTGAGATCCACTCCTCTCTGAGCATCATGTCAGCTACATTTTATTAGTTTGAGTTGTTCGCTACAGTGAAGTGATGATGAAGCCAAAGGCAAAGCGGAGTATCACTAAATGGAAGGAAATGATGGATTCTAGCTCTAATTCCCTGTTCAAATGCATTATTGAGCAGACAGGACACACTATACAGATTGAATTATGTGGATATTAGCAGAGAAGATTGAGAAGACAGGCATAAAATCTGCTTTTGTTTGTTTAGACTGGAAAACAACAAAAACATTTAGAGATCTTCTTAGTCACTTCCTATAAAGCTGTGAATGTTTGCATGAAGGAATAAGATTTTATTTTCCCTGTTTTTCCTTTTATTTTTGTCATTTTTCTTTGCCGATGCAAAACACAGTGGATAGACTGCTGCATTCAGATTCCTCCAAATAAGCCAATCACATTACTCTAATTAGGTTCAACACTTGAGTTGCATTTTAATAGATGCCCCGCTGTGTTTGCACATGTTCAGAACAAGAGTCAGGCTAATTGAAAAATGAAGATGTGAGAGTAATTGTTGACTCTGCTGTAGCGATCATGAAAAAAAAAAAAACTCCTGAAGAAGAATTCTGTTTTTTTTTCTTGTCTTTAAGTGGTCTGATGCTCACAAAAAATAATCTAGTGTCTCCAGTCAGCTGTTTCTGACCGACTCAGCAGTTTAGTTGAATTAGTCAGCATTCATCATGCTGTGGGTTCTTTGCTTAATGTGACTCTTGTGAACATGTGCTCTCTGTGTGGTGACGTGCACAGAAGTCATTGTGGTTGACATTGAATGAAGAGATTTTAAAGTGACACTCAGTTTGGTTACAAATGACTCTTTCAAATTCCTACATTCTGACACCCACCTCTACCYTTACTGGATCACTTTTTTATTTACAAGTTCTTACTTACATTCAGCTCTACTTCACTCTGTTATGTAGAGMAAACTTGGTTTCTGCTGGTTAAACAGTTTCATTCCGAAAAAGTGAAAAAGTGAGTCAGATCCTAAAGGCTGACCCTGCATGGTGAAGCAGGTAAAGAAAAAGAATGAAAGAGTAAGACTGAGCTTCATTCAGAAAGAGGCTAATCCAGGCATTACCAAATGGATAATGGGCTGCAAAGTAGAATTATGGGTTCGTACTGTTGCCTCATTGCAACAGTGTGGAGTTTACCATCAGGTTTGTGGTGGAATCCAAATTCAGACTCAGTTCAATGAGGTCCAAAAARAAAGTATTTATTAAAAAATGGGAAAGCAAAATACAACTGAAATAAAATAAGAAGAAAACTCTGATGGTTACATAAAACACAAAAGTACAAATTACTCGAAACTTGTGACCAACACATTTAACCAATGATGTGGCTGTGGCAAGAAACAAAAGATAAAGAGCAGGCATGGATGGATGGATGGACAGATGGATGGATAGATGGAGGGATGGACAGATGGATGGATAGATGGAGGGATGGACAGATGGATG